TTTCCAGACTAAGACAAACTGGGAAGAAGGATAGGACCATCCACTTCTGAGAAAACTGGACACTGAAAACCTTATGAACAGCAGTGAAACACTGATATTACTGGAAAACTCGGGAACATAGAATCAGGATTGAAGGGAGATTCATTAATAACCTGCAATACGCAGACGACACAACCTTGCTTGCTGAAAGTGAAGATGACGTGAAACATTTACTGATGAAGATCAAAGACTACAGTCTTCAGTATGTATTACAATTCAATATAAAGAAAACAAAAATCCTCACAACTGGACCAATAAGCAACATCACTATAAATGGAAAAATGACTGAAGTTGTAAAGATTTCATTTCATTGGATCCACAATCAATACCTGTGGTACAGTGAATTACCTGGATAGCTTTTCTAGCCGTAATCTTTGTGACTCCCATCAGATAACTGGATGAGGCCATGCAAATAAGGTATATGGAATTCTCATGTGGGGACTGGTTAATTTACAACACGGAATCAGGACTGGAGAAGACTCATCTGTCATTCTGCTTCCTAGAGACAAAAGGGGGATCTCACTGCCAGCAAGAACGAATAGCCAGGGGTGGAATGGGGCACTGTACATCCTAGGACCCAAGATCCCTGTGCTGGACCTCCTTGGTAGAAATGCCCAGCAGAGACCCCCAGCAGAGACTGCAGCAGTGAAACGAACAGGTACAAGACAAAGCAGCCTAGGCCACCTATCAGCAGAGCTAAAAGAGCTAACACTTTGTAACACTTGCCAGAGTAGGGCAGAGGCAAGGCAAGAAGCCAAGGGCCAGAGAGGCATGCCTGAGGACACCACAGATGGACGACTGTACTGATGGAAGAATTGTATCCTGAGAGCATTCCTGAACCCGAGTTGTAACCTGTTCACATCCCCGATAAACCCCATAGTCCTGAGTACAGTCTGTGAGTTCTGTGTGGCCATTGTAACGATGAAACCCAGCAGAGAAGTAGTGAGTGCTGTGGGAGGAACGGCTGGTGTCAGAACTGGTAAAAAGGCTGAAGGGTGGCGGCTTGTCTGGCCTCTGGGATTAAGCCCTGGGCTGCTGATGGGGATTCGGTTTCCCCCTTGAGAGGTTGGAGGACATCAGAAGATGCTGCCCCCATGCCCTTTTTCGCAACACTCATGGAAGGAGCAATCTGGAAACGAGACGCTGTACTGCATGGGGGCAGATCTCCTGCAAGGGACCTCTTTGAAGTGTTAAAAGAGCAACGATGTCACTTTGAAAACTAAGGTGCACCTAACCCAAGCCATGCTATTTTCAATCGCCTCATATGCATGTGAAAGCTGCACAACGAATAAGGAAGACCTGAAGAGAAGCTGATGCCTTTGAACTGTGGTACGAAGAACACTGAAAATACCATGGACTGCCAGAATGAACGAATCTGTCCTGGAAGAAATGCAGCCAGAATGCTCCTTAAAAGTGAGAACGGCCAGATTTTGTCTCACATACTTTGGTCATGTTGTCAGAAGAGTATTATGCTTGGTAAAGCAGAAGGTCAGCAAAAAAGGGGAAGACCCTCCCTGAGACGGACTGACAGTACCTGCAACAATGGGCCAAGCATAGCAAGGGCTGTGAGGATGGTGCAGTACTGGGCAGGGTTTAGCTCTGCTGTACACAAGGTCACTATGAGTCAGAGCCGACTCAACAGTACTTAACAACAACAGTCTCAGGTTCACTATCTTTCAATAATAAACAGACAATGTCTCATTTTTATGAATGATGTAGAAATTGTATCTTTCTTCTCTAAAACGAGTCAAATCTCTGGTTTTCTTGGTATAGATCTGTGTACTCTATCACCATGATTTTTCTTACCACTGATTTCAAGTAGTGTCAAGACACTAATCATGGATTAAATGAAAAAGACGGTGTTTTTTATCTTTCTTCATAGCATATCTTTTCTCAAATGTATTTTCTAGATTAACAGTATTTTCATACCATGGCTAAAGAAAGTATATCTACTATCACAGAGAATGACTCCTACTCTCATTGTGTTTCCCACAACGGGGAAAAAAGGAAAAAAAAAAAAAAAGTAATAACTGAGTTATCGCACTACCTCTACCTAAGCCAAATTTTCAGTTCAACTGAAGTCAGTTCTCTGTTGCTCATGAGCTTGAAGGACATATGAGGAGTCTCCATTTTTAAGAGCTAGAAGAGAGGCAAACCATGAGTCTAGGATATGTCAGTGGGTTGTAAAATTGATTTGGTGCATCAATCATTTTTTTAAAAATAAAATACAAGGATATGCAGCATGGAGTAAAAAGGTCATCTCATAAAAATCTGTGTGTTGTGTGTATTTGTACTGAGAAAAAGCACTCCCAAAAGTAAGGCTTTTGATACGACTAAAACTTCTGGCTAAGGCAAAATCCCCACTTATCCTAAGTGACTCCATTTTGTATTTTTCTATCATATAATACAGACTTTCACTTCTGTAAAAACTTTCCACTGCACCTTTAACCTAAATACATGGAGTTTCTACAGAAAAATGCTTTTCTTTTTTTTTCTACTCTACTTATAGATGAGCTTGGGGTTAGAAATAGCCAATATTGATAAGATTATTCAACTTGTACAGGTGTTGAACATTGTTATAAGCATGTGACTTTAGCAGCCAAGCTGATTCTAAGATGATAACCCCCCCTTAAAACTCCCTCAACTGTATGTGTAATATTCCAAATCTTTGTTCTAACTAACCTATGATTAGAATACACTAAGATAACAAAGTTGTAAATTATCTATATCAAAACCCTAGTTCTCCCCGTGAGCATTAGAATACTAAGCATTTTTACCTGAAACCATCCTATTCCTTCGACAAACTCTTTGCTTTTATATTTCAACAACTCACAACCATAATGCTAATGTAATTCACTTTAACACAGACTACAGATGGCAGATACCAGGAAACATATGATTTTAGTAGTGGAGACCCTGGCAGCTGCAACTTTGTAATGTTAATCAAAAAGACTCCAATTGTACCTCTCTTACTTGCAGTTTTTGTCTTAACTTCTTTGTCAGGAGCATCTTGACTCTGTTTCTCCACTTTGCAAAATGTTCTTTTGCCAAAATAAACTCTGTTTTTCATTTTAAACAAGCATAATTTTTTCACAATAATAGTAGGTGTGTATGGTTGGGCAATCCTACTTCTGTAGTGATACTGCCTCGGAAACCCAAGGAAGGGTCGCTTTGAGTCAGGGCCGATTCAACTGCACATAACAACAACATGTATACTGGATCTCAGTGTAAAAAGTATTTCTAACTGTGGGTCACAGTCTTAAAAAGTGACCTAGGGCCCCAGGTCCCAAACTAAACAAAAGCAGACTCCAACACGGCTCTGCCACTTCCTTGCTACACAATCTTGGTTAGCTGCCTTTACCACCCCAGTCTCCTCATCTGAAAAATGGACATGATCATCTGTCCTTGGAGTTGTTGTGAGATCATATGGGAAAGGTATGTAAAGTTCTTCACTTAAAGGCAGTAACATTCACATCCCTTCTTAGATAAATGTCCAATTGACAAAATGGAAGCAGAAATTAGTTGACCTATAGTATGTTCTAAAAAGAAAAATCCAGTGTGTGAGATGATGTTACCAAATTAGACAACTCTAACAATTTGCTCTCCAAAGACATATTCTTTTGAAAGATCATTTGATCATTTTTGTATCATTTTGTGAATGAAGTCAGTATTCAACAAATATGTTCTTACTTCAGAAATCTTTTCAAAATATAAGTAACAGTACAATGAAAACTCTTCTAGTATTTTTCCTTTACAGAGGATTGAACAAAATACATTATTTAAATTTCATGCTTCATCTTTACAATATGGCGCAGCAAGAGATTAATATCACTTGTCTGAAGACCTTTAAAGATACCAAATTTTATCTCATCTATACAAAGACTCACATTCAAGTACAGGCCGAGAGTCCTTTATCTGTAACTTTTGTAATTACACAAACGAACCAACCTTGTATTCCAGCATGAAGAAAATTTCAAAACCGAAACCAACTGTTCACCTTACAGTCATGTTCTGTTTATTCTTGGCATTTAGTCTAGAGAGAGTTACGAGCTCTGAGTAGAAGACAAAGAAGAAAAGGAGAAGATTCAGAAAGAAGGGTGGAGCCAAGAAACCAAGATACATAAGATAAAAACAGGAAGAAAAAATGATGCCAAAATTGTCAGCAGTCCCTCAGATGAAAGTGGGGAGAGAAACAATTCAAAGCAACTTCAGAAGGCTTTTTACTCTTGGATCCAGAGAGAGGAAGTGGAGACTGGGATAAAATAGCAGGAAAAATTTTGGTATAGGGATGGGAAGAAGAAACTTCTAACAGCAAGTCTTAGAAGATGAAAAACCACTCTGCTGACTGTGAATGAATGATCCAAAAATCATCCTTGATTGTGATGAGCCAACAAAAGAGAGAAAGGAAAGAGAGAGGCTGGATTTTGAAGTTTAAGCAGAGAAAATGAAATCTGGAGAAATAGTCATAGAAATGCCTCAGGGTGAAGGCTACATACAGGGCTGAAGGAAGAACAAGTATTTGGGAAAAAAAAAAAACCTAGCCATGAACTTAAGGTAAAAATTAGGTGCTCCTTGAGAGATCTAAAGGTAAATAGATAAAAAGGCAAGAAGTGTATCTGCAAGATTTGATTGATATAGTAGGAACATAGGTAATGCCACAACTTTAGTATTTTGTGAAAAATTCATGAGGAAAGGAGTAGGATTCCCACCAGGTATTTTTAAAAATGTTTTCCAGGTTTATGTTGATGATCACAACACCACCACCTCTACTTCCTCCCACACTGCATCTAAGAAGATTAACAAGAACAGGCAAAGAGACAGAGCATTGAATAGAGTTTCCCATTCCCATGGCACCAACTGCTACACTCATCACCCATCGCCAGTCCTAACTCTGCAATGCCCAGGTGCCAGTCAACAAGGCCTACATCATTTGCTCTGTCATCACCGCATTGTCCACTCACTTGCTCTGCCCTTCTGTCCATTTCACTGAGCTGGAGCTCCCAGTAGCAACTCTAGAAGAGAAGAAGAAGTGGGGAATGGGGAATGGAGCATGCATTCTCTGGCAAGCCTCCCAGGATCCCAGAATCCTATGAGAAGCCACACCACAGAGATGTGAAGCTACAGATCTAATCAAGAGTTCTAACTCCCCAGCACCACTGGGGCTGATGGTGGGGCTGAAGTCACTACAGGGAAAGAGCTTGGTCTTCAAAATCCAATCTGAGCTTAGAATCTCAGCTCTAACACCTACTAGTTACATGAACTTGGGAAGTTACTTAACTCTCTAAGCTTAACTTACTAGGATAACAGTACCTAGACCTCATAACATTAGGAAGATTAACTGAGGTAACTTCAAAGAATACCTTATACACAGTAGGCACTTCAGGAATGCTATGTTCTATTTCCTGTCTCCTCAGACTTGTTGGAAAACTAAAAATGAGTTATTTTAATATTGAAATCAAGTCCTACCCACTTGGCTTTTTTATTTTCAGATGGGAAAAGTAATCCCTACCTATGTTTGATAGCTGTACTACTATCTATCCCCTATTGTGGTTGTAAATCAAGTATGAAGAAAGCCTACTGGCATGACCAGAGGTATGAGCATGTCTGACTTTGGATCGCCCAAATTACCATCACTCAAATACGAATTTGGATCCTGGACTTTGTTTAACCAAAACATTTTTTTGATAGGTTAGTGTAACAGTTAACATCAGTGATACCACTAGCAAAACAAACACTAGACAAAACTGCATGGGTACAACTTTGAAGAACTCCAAAATATTAAATAAAAGAAGACCATATTAAATGTTCCCATTATTTTCAACTCTCCTGATCCGGAAAAAAATATTTTCTTAGTCATATTTCTGAAAATTTAATACTAAACACAATCCATCAATTGGGAGAGAGAGGAAAGCATCTTAATTCTACAGAGAGTCATATCCAGCTTTAAAGCTGTCCTCTCCTCATAAGTTCTAAGTATCTTTAAAAGGGCTTAAACAGGTGTAAATTACTGTTTAAGGACAATGGAGTGAGAAGACCTTACCCCTTTAATGTAGCTCCTAAGTTCATCTGATTCCAGGTCATGCATTCCAGCTGGGAAGTCATTTGATATAAATTGTCACTGTTAGAAAAACATTCAGAGTTAGAGACATAACCACATACATAAAAAAGTGTTTTTCACAAAGTGACGCAGTTTTAACTTTTCATTATAGTAAATGTCCCCATGTTTTCCACTATGAATTTCATTTCACCCCACTTATCTCTGCACAGTTATTCACTTCAGGTCCAGCAGAAAGGATGTGAGAGTAATTTGGAAGCCTTTAAAAAACCTCAGTATAACAAACACTGAAGTTTCTAAAGGGGCATTAAACCTTTGAAGAGAAGAGGCTAAAGGGAGTGAATCTTTGAAAGGCAACACAGGCTGGATAACTCAACATTAAAGTTAAAAGCCTGAAGCTGAAAATAAAAAGACAGCAGATTAATTATTCGTGAAAAGGCCATTAAGTTGTTTTAATCAAAAAGATAAGTATCATGTGGATTATGAGGGCCTGAAGAGTCAGAGTGATGGGTGATGGATGGTCTAATACCCAAAGACGTGATAACAGAAGAAAGATGATAAACTCTATACACAACTGAAGGAATCATTCCAAGCTTTATAATCCTGGAGCAAACCAAATGGTGTTTAAATAGATAAATAAAAAAAACCCAACCACCACCAAATTCTCTAATGCCCTTTGAGAAGAAACAATGGGTAACCTGCTCACCACTTACATTAAGACCCTGCAGGAGAAAATACCACTATGTAAAAACCAATCAAAAGTAAGTTCTTCACTCCTTTTTATACTTATCTCATTCTTAGAAAACTAGCACATAAATCAATTACCAGCAATCTACTCAATTACCAGGCTCTGTTAAGTATAAATATAGGCCTGAACTGAAATGGTTAATTATGAAATTTGAGACGAGATTAACGGTTTGTCTGGAGCCTCTTTGTCTCAGCACATTACAGAAGAACATTTTCACTCTACCTTCATGGCACAAGTAGAAGAAGATAAGTTTTCAATATCTAATGTATAATATCAGATCACAAATTCTGGACAATCTCTCTCTTGTCATGACATTCCTTTGGGTTGCTTCACTGGGCAGAGGCAACATCAAATTTCAATTAAGAGAGTGTTTTGTCAGGCCAAAGAAACTGGGAACGTGTGGAGGGGTGAGGGAAATTATAGCAACTCGGAATAAATGAACACTGGGCTCACTCTCTCAGCATAGCTTGATAAATCATAGGAGAGTCCATCTGACTCTCATGTAATCACTCTGAAAATTATTTGGAACTCCCTGGTGGCAGGTACACAGGATAAGGAGGAAATCAGATTGCAGGGGGAACTGTGCATATGAAAAGTGAACTGACTTCCAACTGCAAGTATGTGTAGTTTCATTAGTCTGTGTATACCTGGACCCCATCATTCATCCCCATGTCTGACTGGCTATTATACTACTACAATATCCTACATATCAATGAAAAAAATTATTAGTTTCTCCTGCAGCTTTTCCATTTGCAACAGTGGCCCGTGCTGGTCTGTGCCACTACATTTCGCAATTCCATGAATTCTTGCTGTAAGGCAGTGTAATTAATTCCTGAAAGACCCCAATTTTTATTAGAAGTGCCAGCCTGCTGCATTTACCACAGGAGAGTTTCTTGAACTTTCTTTGGGCTGACAGTTCATTAATAAGTGGCCTCCTCCACAATCTCTACTGGTTTTTGTTCTCCTGAGCCTTTTCATCAAACAATCCATTTATTAATCTTGACATTAATCTCAGCCAACAGGCATTGTATTCCCCAGGCAGCTCTATATTTTTGTCACTAATTTTTAAAAAATTGTTCACCAACTAAAATCACTCAGCCCCTGTTGACAATTTTCCTAGGCCCTGTTGGCATGTAGGTCTTTCTTAAATTTATTTTATCCTCGCATGTAAGAAAACCATCGTAATTTTCAAGAGGGCTGGGAAACATGACGAGTGACAGAAGTTTACACACATGGGTTAATGAGTCCTAAATATGTAACTTTATGATTTAAGAATTTTCTCACAGACTCAAAGAATAGTCTGTTTATTCCTAAGGATCTCTGTAAGAAATCACTCCAAAGTGAAAATATTTTAAGGGCATTTTCTCAGCTCCTGGAAAGCAAACTTCATCAAATACAGGGTCTATGTCTTACATATATCCTATGTATCATATTGTTGTTGTTGTTGTTATGTGCCGTCGAGTCAGCCCCGACTCATAGCGACCCCTCCCTGGGTTTCCGAGGCAGTATCACTACGGAAGTAGGATTGCCCAACCTTCCTTCCGAGGAGTGGCTGGTGGGTTTGAACCTCTAGCCTTCTGGTTAGCAGTCAAGTGCTTTAGCCACTATGCTACCAGAGCTCCATGTATCATATTAGTAGATGCTTAATAAATATACCAGATCAGCGCTATCCTATACGATAGCCACTAGCCACATGCTACTGTTGGGCACTTGAAATGTAGCTACAGTCTTATATTGCAATTTGTCTATCCTTAGTTAAATAAACTATATTAAAATTAATTTTATGGCTTCTTTTTTTTAGATGACTATCCAATTTGAATTATATGTATGGCTTGTACTTTGTTTCTGTTGGACAGTGCTACTCTAGAAGTTTTGGAAACTGGAGTGAATCAATTAACCTCTCTGCACCTCAATTTTCTCATCTGTCAAATGGGATTATCTTAATCAGTCTAACCTTACAGGCATGCTGTAAGGCTCAAATATAGGTAAATATAAGTAACAACCAACAACCATAATGGTTCTTTGAAGACTATACAGATGATATATTTTTCTCTAACTTACCTCGTTTTGCACAGTACTTTTACATATTATCAACACTTCTCATAACAACTTAGTGCAGTGAGTGTAATTATGATCCTTATTTATCAGATGAGGGCTGAGTCTCAGAGAGGTCAATGATGCACCCAAGACCACAGAGCCTAGTGCTAGCTTGCCTTCCATATCTCCCCACTCTCCTGAAGCCATCCTGGTATTATTTAGCCTATGAGCCCCTTCCTGTCACTATTATTTATAAATAATAATAATAATAATACAGTCAAGAGTCTGGAGATGAAAGAGAACATGCTGAAGAGAGCATCGTGACCTACTCTATCTTCAGAAAGTGACAAGATGCAAGAAACTCAACACATACACTTTAGCTAACTAAGGATAGTGTGCCAAGATCCCAGCAGGAGCCGCACTTTGTAATTCTAGTTGTCCTAAAATAGCTCAGCCTACAAACCCTCAGAAGCAGGAAGAAGGTGGAGAGAGATGATGGGGAAGATGGATTTTCAGAAAATCCCAAGGCTACTTACTAGTAAGTTTCCTGAGGCCAGCAGTAGGACCAGAGGACAATTTTAACCAAATCTTGCCTACTGCTGGCTGGAATCCTCAGTAGTTTGGTATGTTGGCTTGGCTGGCATGACTGTCCAGCTGGAAGTCAGTGACAGCAATGACAATAACTGCTGCTTGGGGAGAACAAAATGTGAGCTTGGACTAAAAATACTGGGCTCAAGCATGCTCAGGCTATGATCTCTTTAGGCAATCAGCCAATAACCCAGTTCTCATGGAAGTCCATAGAAAGATGCAGCACTGTTCAAGGATATACAGCTCTGGCACATAAAGCATCTAATTATTTAATAACCACCGTAGGTGTTGACCATCTCATTCCCCGAGGAGCTCAGATAAGCAGGGAGTTTGGCTCAGAGCAACCACAATGGTCACGTAGGCATTTTAGCTCCAACTATCTAACTCTGCCTGTTCGGAAGTAAACTCTGAAATTACAGGCTGCCAAAACATATCCCCAAAGTCATGGCATCCTTCGTGTGTGTGTGTGTGTCTATACATGTATATGTGTGTGTGTGTGCTTTTTAAGTAGGTAATTTCAAAGAAAAAGTCACTTGTTTTGTATGTAAGTGTTTGACGTTGGAGGCAAGGGAGAGAGGGTAGAAACTTCTATAACTGGAATTAATGCAAGTTGGAGTAAAATAAAAGGAAGTCAGTCCTAGCAAAATGGGGAACTTGAAAGGAAATCAGTAGTAGATCATATAGAGTTTGTTTTGGCCTGGACCGCAGTATTACCGAGTTCTCGACCTCTGCACAAAAAAGGATGAAGAAAAAAAAGAAAAACTTTAGCTATTATCTGGACTGAAAACTCCCCCACTTTCCAAATGCATGTGTGATTCAAGCACACTTTCATCTTTAAGTGTGTTTACTATATTCAGCAGAAAAAGGTAGAAAAGTTCATGTCACCAATGGAATGAAACAGATGAAACTTGGGTTTCAATTTCTGTCAACTCTGCCAATAGTTGCTGGCTGGCAAAGTACCATCTCAGTAGAGTAGTTTTTCCTCCAAGGTACTTAAAAAAATAAAAATAAAACCCAAACAAGGGGAAAAAAAAACACAGAGATTACTGGCATCTGCGATCAGAATTCACGATGTTTCCAGCTTCTGTTGTAATAGCTCTGTCCCACACCAGCAGAGGGACCCATGTGGGTTTACCTCTACCTGATAACCCCAGACGCCTGCTCGGAGGCTGTGGCCAGACTTCCATGCAGTCCTTCTCCCGCACTCTTCCCTCTCAGGCGCCTTGGAGGCTGCTGGCCAACACATTTCTGCACAGCAGGCCGTAGTGAATAATTATTTCACAGTCCCTCTCTCTTGGTATCGTAATTTCTCTCAAGCTCACCAGTGAACCAAAAGAAAAACCCTCTGGGGATTCAACTTCTATTAATAAACACTTGGTCAGCACAAAAGTTACAGGAATATTTGAAAACTAGCTTTTTCCCCCTCCCTAGAGACAAATCCAATTCAAGCCAGTGACTGTGATGGTACTTCCCTCCCCCTGGAGGCCATTTTGGATCCTCCACCTTTGTCCCTACTAATGTGAAAAAAAGGTATTAGGATCATCTGACTAACTTAAAATATCATATAAAGTATGCACAGATCCAATGAAAAGAGGTAAAGATTAATGATAACTTTATCTTACTGGGTACAGGTCTATGATTTGTCTATGATAAACGCTAATCTAAACTGTGGGTTGTGTCTGTCCCACTG